CCCCCCCCCCCCCCCCCCCCTCCTCAGCCTGATAGGCAGCTGTCATCCGTACGCAACAAGTACGCATAACATGCCGAACACCCTTCGCAGGATGCAGCGCACCCTTCATTGTTGTTGTAGTCCACAACACATAGGGAGCCCGTGGTATCAAAACCCGGCACATACGACGCCGCGGGGAAACAAGACAAAAATAGGGTACAAACCACTCGGAAACACAATACATAACGATCAAATTGAAATAACAGGTACCGCACCGACCGTTCGAGAAAAGAGCCCTCGGAAACCGATCAAAACTACACAAAAACACAGGTAAAGGAGGACGCTTCCTACACCCGCCTAAAGAAAACATCAAAGGGTAACGTACCAGCACCAGGCAATACCCCGGTTGGGTCGTCTAGCTAGTATAAGTGGAGGATAGGGGCCAGAGGGGCAGACGACAGAGTCCAATGATGGGAGAAAAAAACAAAAAAAACTACGTTCTCCCATCATTGGACTCTGTCGTCTGCCCCTCTGGCTCCTATCCTCCACTTCTACTACCTAGACGACCCAACCGGGGTCACATAGGAGGGGGGGGCTGGACCCCCTCCTGCGGTTCCTGCCTGAGATATTTTTATCGCGAGAAGGGTACAGCAATCCCTTCCCTCGCGACTTACGAAGTCGATTATGGTTTACTAACAAAGAGCTTTGCAGCGCGTCGATTTCATCCTGGACCAGGATTTATTTAGAGAGAAAAAACTCACTCTGTCGGGGCTCGAACCCATGACCTGGCCTTTGGCAGGCTGCGAGGTTACCCACCAGACCACCGGGGCGACCATTATTTTTTTGTCTCCCATCATCGGATTCTGCCGTCTGCCCCTCTGGCCCCTATCCTCCACTTCTACTAGCTAGACGACCCAACCGGGGTCACATAGGAGGGGGGGGCTGGACCCCGTCCTGCGGTTCCTGCCTGAGGTATTTTCATCGCGCGAGAAGGGTACAGCAATCCCCTCCCTCTCGACTTACGAAGTCGATTATGGTTTACTAACAACGAGCTTTGCAACACGTCGCTTTCATCCTAGACCAGGATTAATTTCGTGAGGGGGCGACCATGTGACTCGCCGAATATCTCACGGTGCTTCGCGCTTGCTGATGTGAGAGCCTGGTCCGGTAAGAACCCGGCTTTGTAGGGATGCGAGGTCAAAGGTCTAACGGCTACGACTTTAAACACACACACACACAGTCCTGCGGTGCCACCCCACAAACTTCACCGCGCTTACCCGCAGGGGCAGTCGCCGGCGCTGCGAGAAGTCGCAGTCTTGGTCTGCTTCACGGATCCGCACGTGCACGCGTCACCGCAAGAGCACGATGACCCTGGTCATGATGAGAGAGGAGACCCAAGCAGCAAAAGGAGCGGCAGCAGCAAGTCCAGGGCACAAGAAATCAGCGGTTGGCGCACGAAAGTCGAAACGACGATGCCACTCAGGGGACCATTCACTGGCTTTTTGACACCAGGTCCCGCTTGGCGTTCCCCTAAGCGTACGGTACAAACCGAGTTCCGCTAAATCTTCCGTCTACAACTTACCAAGTTAACATACACATAAATACACAAGATGGCTACCAAACTGCCTTGTTGAGCATGTTACCCACAGGGGAGATATCGTTGTATGCTGTCTGGGAAACCGTAGACATACAGGTAGCATTTCGCTCACGCTATGGATTCATTGCCAATCTATCTTAGACTTATTTCTATAGATAGAGATGGATTTGTTGTGTGATATTAAGAAAATAAAGAAAAGTCAGTGCGGGACGTTTGGAAGACAGAGAGCCGGGGAGTCTGTGACGGAGGTGCCCATCGAAACGAACCCCGTCTTTGAATCCCGCATTTCGGCGGTTACATGAAGAAGAAGCTAGGGCAGTATGTACTTGATGCCGAATGGTCTACACATCGTTCGAGCAAAACATTACGCATCGGGGCTAACATACAAAAAAGTATCAGAGGAAAACGATCACACACCATTTTCAGCAAGCCCGCTGTCCCCGAGTCCGGATTTGACAAACAAAATCTCTTCAATAATACTAGATATCATGCTCACAATTACCTCCCGTTCAACACAAACGCGATAAATCCTGATCTAGGATGAAAGCGACGCGCTGCGAAGCTCGATTGTTAGTAAACCATGATCGACTTCGTAAGTCGCGAGGGAAGGGATTGCTGTACCCTTCTCGCGATAAAAATACCTCAGGCACGAACCGCAGGAGGGGGCCCCGCCCCCCCCCTCCTATGTGACCCCGGTTGGGTCGTCGAGTTGGTAGAAGTGGAGGATAGGGGCCAGAGGGGCTGACGACAGAGTCCAATGATGGGAGAAAAATAAACAAACAAAACACGCCACGGCTAAATAGCGGAGTATTTCCACAAGGGCGAACTCCGCCTCAAATCGAGGGAACGGCTGAAAAGCAAAAGCTTCCATCAACCGAGTTGTTGGTGGTACACAATCGGGGGAGGGTCAGCAATCGGGACAGACGGGAGGAGGCCGCTAGTTAGGTATCAGCCTTCGCACAGGCCTGGCTCACAGGGTACACATCAGGGGTACCGCCGATCTGCACGGATGGTTGCGAAAGGCGGAAGTTAAAAAAAAGGTGGGCCGGGATGTACACGCGCTCCGACGCCTCCGAGTACCACGTCACGAGGCAAACTTCAACAGATTGTTGAACAGGTTTGGATCTCGGCGTCTGCTCCATACGTATTCGCACCGGCTCGTCCAAAAAAAACTCCCCCCGCGCGTCTCTGGCGCAACGAAAATGTCCCCATGGTCCCCACCCATACGTCATCAAACGGCGTGCACCAGTTGGCCGCCGCCACACGCCGTCGATGCCACAATGCGTAGTTTCGCCGGCTGAAGGGTGCACTTGAGCAACACGACGCTTTTTTTTGTTGACCATCAGCAAAGAATCAAATCACACCCAAGATATCCCCCGCCCCCCCCGTACTCCTGTCAAACCTCACCACAGCTGCAGTCGGCCCAGACCTTGCATCCTCCGCTCGACATGTTGTTTGGATTGTAACTGCTGTTTGCTTTTACTAAAGTGAGATTCTTGGGCAGTGTTTGTGCGCGTATTCTGACAATACGCAATACGAAGAGAGTCAATTGATTCCTCCGCTTCAGGCCTCGACTTCTCAGAGGCTCTGCCACCGCTAGGCCAGTACCCCAAATACATGGGGCGGAGCCCCTGCTGTCCCTGCGTCGTTGATTGTTGTTTCCGGAAACATCCATTACACTGCATTCAATTCACTGTGTTGCATTGTGTTGCATTGTGTTGCACTCACGGTGCAAGACAGAGGAGACATCGCTGCAATTCGACGGTGAGGTACGTGCTGTGCGACCGTTCTCACATTTCTTGTGCATACCGTGTGACGGCGTCGAGAAGAGTGGACAAGGAGCGCTCCAAAAGTTGGAAGCTTGATCTCTGGTTCTGTCTCGCTCGCACCCAGCAGTAGTAGCAGCAGCAGCAAGCTCGCGAGAGCAAAACGAGCATCTGTCTCGCGGGGAGAGGACGTTCGACGTCATCGTCTTGCCTTGAAGCACAGCTACTATCCTTTCCCACTGCCGCTGATGTGCACTCTGCTTCAACGACGCCGGCATTCTCCCGTATTCTGGCCAGTCGGCTTGCTTTTTTCGGAGAGGTTCAGCGGAAACGGACGGAATCTGACCAGGATCATATGGCTGCGCTTGCAGATTTCGGTGGGAAGATGGATCGAGGGCTCGGGAGACGGGCAACAGCAGATGTTCTCTGGGATCAAGTAAGTACAATTCGTCTGAAACATATTTCCCTCTAAGTTCGAAATGCAACTAGCTCCTTAAGAGGTGCTGCTGCTATCATACAAAGGGCCATGGTCCGACGACACAGCTGTTTGTACTGATATTTAGTGTACCACAGCACTGCTGTGTTTATGTAGAGCCCTCCAGGTCCCAAACCTCCACAGCACACATGGGAGGCAAGAGGAGACCTGTTCCCTCCTCAGGAGCGGTAGAAGAAGTGCATGGGATAGCCAGGGGTGTTGTGTGTTTGCTTGACATCTAGACAGTTTCCCTCCATTACCATTCGTGTGCTTGTATGCTATCTTGTATGCATACAACGGTTGTTTTCTTGCAGCTGGTTTTTGCAGCCCACTGCTCGATGGGTCGGGTACCATGTCCGTGTCACCCGCTCTTCCACAGTATTACTCCAGTATAAAATACGAGTTTCGAGCAAAGCACCCACTCCACTCATTGCCCGACTACTACGCAAGTTGCCGCCGGATTGGTCGAGTTGGAGCGCGCACAATGCACAGCGCAGTCAATGACTGCGCGTCCTTGCCCCATAAGCCCGCTCTCGCTTGCTGGTGCACCAGAGGTTCATTTTTGAAAATTTTGTACAGCAGTAGGGAGTTGTGCAATTATCCTCTCGCGGCGAACCAGCATGGTTTTCCAACGTCTTCCCTTCATCACAAACCCGGTATCGCGCCAAAGCGTCCACACCGTTGGTCGCGTGTGTACACACCTTGGCAGCACTTGTGATACACCTACAATCTATAAAGGTTTGCGGGTCCAGCAGTACCACACCGCTGCGGTCCGCGATTTTCGAACGAGCCTTTTCTCGTCGACTTGGGTGAGGTACGAGCAGGATCTTGGATGCTGCTGTGCGGTGCGATCTTCGAAGGCGGACCGCACACGGCCACCTCCAAACATTCTGCTCGTACCTCACCGACGTCGACGACAAAGGCTCGTTTCGAACATACCGGACCGCAAAGATGCGGTACGGTAGTACATCACGAGGGCTGGTGTAGCCCTTCGCGTTTTAGGGTTCTCCGCTAAGCTGTCATCGGTTACCTCACATGCGCAACGTGTTCGGACGCAATTGGCGCGATGGTCCAGCTCAATACAGTTCTGGGCCCTCTATAGTGCAGGTTGAATAGTGCAGGTGCCCGGTATAGTGGAGGTAAAATCCCTGGGCACACCCCTGCACTATAGAGGGCCCAGTACTCTACTCGAGTTTGAAGCCTTTGGAAAATCAAGTTTAGCAGGCGCTTCGTAGTTAGCTGAAGAGGAGACCTGCGCAACTCCACCGCCTCCTTCAACCGTTTCGTTTTTGTCGTTTTGACCCAAAGCTGTGTACGACTACTCCATTTCTGCTGTGCCTGTGCGGAAATGAAAGGATTCTTCATGGACCTGATTTGTTTGACGCGCTTGGGGTACTTGGGGGATACTGCTGTACGTGCAAAGTACGCTACTGCTGTGAACGGGATCAGTCAGTCGTTCTTGGGCCAAGCTTGTGGAACCTTTTAAGGGTTTCTCCACAGCTGGTAGGTAGTTCGCTGCTGTTTGCCATGTTGTGAGGACTATCGCCGCCAGCGACTGCAGGAGAGCTGGTATCACTAAAGCCCAACAAGGCGCCTCCGAATCCGCTCGCAGTGCACGGCGGTGCCTCTCTGGCCACGCCTAGAAAGTAGCGCAAGAGACGCGAGTTGAGAGAGCTCGAACAATGGTGCGCGCCTCCTTCGGCGTTCTCATCCATCACCACCCCCACTTGATCCACCCATCGACAACGGTTGATAGTGTGAAGGCGCTACCTTCACCACCAACAGCACCACCAACAACAACGACAGCAACGCCAAACCCTGGTCCGGCCGTCGAGGGACCTTCGACGGCCTTCTTCTTGTTCCGGGGAGTTAACGCCCCCTTCGCTTCCAATCCCTCGCTTCTCTCTCGTTGTTGTCGTTCGTCCTTCAGATCCGCAAGCTTCGCGACTGCGCGCCTATGGAGGGCGAGTTCTATCCAGACGAGGAGCCGGCTAAGGCTCTCGCTGCCATCAGCGTGGCCCTCAAGCCCTGGAGTTCCGCGTCCAGGTGCGACAACTGTAATCACTGTGTACACGGGGCTTCCCCCTTTGATGTGTGCAACCGCGGATGTCGCGCGAGGCCAACGGGAAAGAGACGCTATTGTATGCGAAGTACATGTATGCATGTTGCTAGAGTTGCGTACCATGCGATACTTGTGCCTTGTTTTTGTTCGTTCGTCGGACTGACCGGGAGGGGAGACTCTATAGTAAGTGTTGCCGCTTCGTATCACGCAATGCTGCTTGTGTGTTCGTTGCTCGGGCTGACCACGAGAGGGGACGCTAAGGTCCGTGTTGCTGCTTCGTATGTCCCATGCGATACTGCTGCTTTCGTGTGGTAGTTTTTGGCAGTTGAGGGGAAGCCGGAGAGCAAGCATTTGAGCGCAAAAAGGGCGGGACGATCAATCTCTGTCGCGACTGCTGTGAGACGCCTGACGACGGACACCCCCCGGTCCCCTACATGCCCGATCCATCGACCTCCCTCCCTTGCTGCAGGGAAACCCTGCTGAGCATGTACGCGAAGATTGCGGACGGAAAGCGGCTGGACGACTTAATTTCGCTTTTCCTGGGCAGCCAGGAGCACCCCGCGTTAAGGTGTGTCATCTGTATGGGGGAACCGTTTTTCGCCCGAATAAAGTATCGAGCGTTGACGACATGTCTGTGAACGTGGTTGCATTCTGACCGTAGGGGTGGAGAGGCTGGCGGGGCTACGAGCGGCCCGTTCTTACGACGTTTGACGGTTTTCTGTCTATCCCCGTCACGACGAAAATGAGCACGGGTAGGCTGTCGCAACTCCTCAGCGGCACTCAGCGAGCCCCTCCACGTTCTCCCCAGCTGTGCGTCCCATTCGCGATCGGAATTCGTTTGAACATTTTGTCCCGCGGTACACGGAACGCCGTCGTCCACGGAATTGAAACCCCACCAGCAAGAACCTGTCTGCGCCGTTCCTTGCGGTGTTGCGAGGGTTGACCCGCTTAATCGACGCGACAATGAGGTAGACGAGCTTTTAGAGCTGGCGTGCGACGTTACCGAATGGCCGAATCTGGGGGTAGAAAGTCCGTCCGGTTTCGTGCTTTCTTCTCGCCAGGCCATGACGCAAGATTCTCCAACTAACACACTCCTGGGTATGGTTGAGGTGTAAGAAAGGGTCGCGGCTTGATTCAGGCATGCCGTACAGGACACAAGATAACACACCCCCATGGACCAATTTTTCAAAGCTCGATCACTCCACGGCGAAGAGGATGCATAAACGAAACGATACATTTTTGGAAAGCTCTCGACGAGACGGTTCCAACGCCCCCGTTTTCGGCGCCGTGACTGTTGTTGAGAAATCGAGATTTGAAAATCGGTCCAGGGGGTGTGTTATCTTGTGTCATTTACGGTAGCCTACAGCTGCAAGGATGGGGTTCAGGCCAGATGCCGTTGACCAACCGGCTGCAAGGAATCAATCGTGAGGCTTACCTAGATCGGTTCGGTACCGACATGTCGTGGAGCTATTAGACGAGTGCCGCAGAGGGGGNGGGGGGGGGGGGGGGGGGGGGGGGGGGGGGGGGGGGGGGGGGGGGGGGGGGGGGGGGCGCTTCTCCCTTGTTGGCCTTACGATATGCTGCAACCACGTGTAGTTCAAGTGCAGCTAATCTCACGAACGTACATTAAACGGAAGGCGTGCCCTGCCAGCCTCCATACAATGTTTCCCTGCCTTGTAGAACAGTGCCCAATTTCCAATTGGATGCAACCCGTGCCTTTTGAGGGTGAAAATCATATCCACCCGTCACTATTACAAAGGACGGGTCTGGACAAGCTGGGACACGCTAACTGCTGTGATTTCTGCTCCCCCGACCCCAATCTCGAATCCCTGCCTCGCAAATATGAGATAGATCTGTGATGTGACATGCGCATGCATACTGGTATGTGTTTCCTTCCTATTCCATCCACCTGCCTCTGGTTTAACACTGCGGTACTGCGTTTTCCGCAGGTATGCTTGCCTGGAGCTGCTGGGATTCGTGGGTCAGCTGAAGCAAACACACCGGCGGTTATTGTGTCGGATGGACGTGATCAAAACGCTGCTTACGGTGCTGGTAAGCATCGCCTTGCCTCTGTTCTTCTTTCCCATTTGGGTAGCAAAACTACGCGTGCTGAGAAGCCTGTTCCGCCAACTAGATCTGAAGGAAAAAACCGACACTTTTTTTGGTGTCAAGATCAATGAAGTTTTGTACCAATCCTGCACACCTCGATGTTGTTTTTGCCAGCTCCCCCCCCCTGTTGTCGAGATCTCGTTGCAAAATGACCGGAAGCATTGTTGATTCCCGGGTGTAGGCGATTTGTATTCAAGTTTGTAGATGCTCCGTCTCTAACCAAAGAGATGCATGTTCGTTCGTCGAATGATAAGCGACACACGGCAAGCAACGAGTACCTCGTTTCGCCCTTCCCCCCTCCCTCCCTCCCCCCGTTCTTGTCCGATCTCCCCGCCCCCCGCGTGCTTGTTTTGTCTGGAGTAAACCCCTGTGTCTCGGTTATTTTCCCGGGGGGCGGAGGGGCGGGCGGCTGCCTCGTCTTGAAAACACGCCTACTTACCATATCACTCTCGTGCTTGCGCGTTTGCTTGCGAAGGAGCGGCCACGGATAGTGCCGATCAGCCCTTACTGCCCGAGCAACGACATCTGTCCGGCGGCGGAGGCGGCAAGAGTACTCAGGTATGGCAAGAGAGTGAGTTCTCAGGTACTTGGTAGTACCACGGTTTATGCACACGTACGTATCTGTATGATTGTGCTGCTGTTTCCAGCAATGTGTGTGTGTTTTTTTTTCATGTTTCCTTATGACGCTGTCCGTCGAACGGACGTGCATCCCAAAAAGAGGTGGTGCGTACTGTTACAATGGTTGATTGCTGATGTTCTTAGTATTACCATGATATCTGCAATGGTTGATTATGAAGATCCTTGACCTTGCGGCTAATCTGCCAACTGCTGATTGTGATCATTAGGATTGGTCAAGACTCGTCTTCTCATGTGTTCGCGGGTGGACGGGAACGTCATTTTCCGCCTCAACCCCTCCCCCTCCCCCCCTGCCGCGCGCTCGAGACTCGACCCGCGAGCCTAGCTCCCTGACGACCGCTGCACTCTTTCAACTTGGTAGCTTCATCTTGTCTATCCCGGTACATTCCTTGTCGTCGCCATAGCCCCCCA